TCTCTCAAGGTCTGTGAAGAATTGTGTTGGGATTTTGATGGGGATTGCATTGAATCTATAGATTGCTTTTGGTAGAATTGCCATTTTTACTATGTTGATTCTCCCAATCCAAGAGCAAGGGAGATCCTTTCTTTTTCTGGTATCCTCTTCAATTTCTTTCGTCAAAGACTTAAAGTTCTTGTCAAACAGATCTTTCACTTCCTTGGTTAGCATTACCCCAAGATACTTTTGCTATTGTGGCTATTGTGAAATATGATGTTTCACTGTTTTCCCTCTCTGCTTCTTTTTTCTTTGTGTATAGGAGAGCAACTGATTCTTTGGAGTTGATCTTGTATCCTGCCACATTACTAAAGGTGTTTATCAGTTGTAGGAGTTCTTTGGTAGAGGTTTTGGGGTCGCTTATGTACACTATCTTATCATCTGCAAATAACGAAAGTTTGACTTTCTTTTTAGTTCAAATCCCCTTGATCTCCTTATGTTGTCTTATTGCTATTGTTAGAATTCCAAGCACTATATTGAAGAGGTATGGAGAGAGTGGACAGCCTTGTCTTGTTCCTGATTTTAGTGGAATGACTTTGAGTTTCTCTTCATTTATTTTAATGTTAGCTGTCGGCTTGCTGTATATTGTTTTTGCTATATTTAGGAATGAACCTTTTATTCTAACCTCCCCAAGACCTTTATCATAAAGGGGTGTTGAATTTTGTCAAATGATTTTTCAGCATCTAATGAAATGATCATATTATTTTTTCCTTCAGTTTATTTATATGATAGATTACATTAATAGATTTTCATATGTTGAACCAGCCCTGCCTCTCTGGGATGAAGCCTACTTGATCATAATGTATAATTTCTTGAATGTGTTCTTGGACTCAGTTTGCCAGTATTTTATGAGAATTTTTGCATCGATGTTCATGAGTGAGATTGGTCTGTAATCTCTTTCTTTGTGTGGTTAAGTCTTTGTGTGGTTTTGGTTTCAGGGTAACTGTTCATAAAAGGAGTTTGGCAATGACTCTTCTGTTTCTATTTTGTGAAATACATTAAGGAGTATAGGTATTAGCTCTTCTTGGAAGTTCTGGTAGAATTCTGCATTGAAACCATCTGGTCCAGGACTTTTTTTGGTAAGGAGGTTTCTGATGACAGCTTCTAATTCTCAACCTTCCCAACCTAAAGAAGGATATTCCTATGAAGGTACAAGAAGCATACAGAACACCAAGTAGACTGGACCAAAAAAGTATCCCTTTGCCATATAATAATCAAAACACAGATCATACAGAATAAAGAACAAATACTAAGAGATGCAAGGCAAAAAGGTCAAGTAACATATAAATGGAATTCTATGTTATTCTATTAGAATTACACATGACTCCTCAATGAAAATCATGAATGCCAGAAGGTCTTGGATAGATGTGCTGCAGACACTAAGAGACCATGGATGCAAGCCCAGACTACTATACCTAGCAAAGCTTGCATTCACCATCGATGGAAAAAACAAGATATTCTGGGACAAAAACAGATTTAAACAATATGAAGCCACAAACTCAGCCTTACAGAAAATACTAGAAGGAAAACCACAAACCAAGGAAGCCAACAACATCCATAATAACACAAGCATCTGACAACCCTCCACCAGCACAACTCAGAGAAGGGAAACACACAAACACTTCCTCCATTTCTTTAAGGAAATTTTTCATTACCTCTTTAAAGGTCTCCATCATCCTCATAAAGTTATATTTAAAATTCGTTTCTTCTGCTTCTTCTGGGTTAGCATGATCAAGTCTTCCTGTTGTTTAACCACAGGGATCCGGTCTTACCATGTTGCATTTTAGGTTGTTGAATGAATTTTTGCGTTGACACATACTCATCTCTTCCTCTGATTGGTGCCAGCAGTGTCTTTGCCTCTTGGCCCAATCATTGCAGTGGCTGACTTTGTCTTTGGGAACTGTTCTTGGTCTGCTCTGTACTGTCTCTGTCTGTGTCTCAGGGAGCTGCTGAGTTCTCTCTTGGCCTGTTGGTCTGCTCTCTTCGTTTGCTCTCTTGGTCCATTTGTGCAGTCACAGCCTGTGCTTCCGGGTTCCTCTCTTGTTCCTCTCCGTGTAATTGCAGCCTGTGCTTCAGAGTTCCTCTGAGGTTGCAGGGGATAGGAGCGTTTGGGGGTGGAGTGAGACTTGTAACTTGCAGGGTCCAATTGATGAGGTGGATGTGTTGGGGCAGCCTACCAGCAGGAAGGTTGCCTGCTGTCTGACTAGTGAAGCTGAAGCAGGTGGGGGAGGGGCCTAGGGTTTTGTCCCCAAAAAGTAGGGCCTGGAGAGTGAGGTCTCCTGCTGAGTAGGTTGTCACTCCCCTTTTTGCCCTCTCTGTGTATTTGCAGCCTAGGTTTCAGAGTTCCTCAGAGGTTACAGGGCTAGGGAGAGGGAGGGGGATATGAAGATTTGGAGGTGGAGTGGGACTCCAAAGGTATATTCTTTTGTGTTTGGAAGAAATAATTTGTAGATTTCTCTTAATTTCGTCTGATTCATAATATTTCTTTGCTTAGTTTTGTATGAATGTTCTGTCCACTGAGGAGTGTGGGGTATTGAAACCTCCCACATTAATGTATGAGGCTCAATATGTGATTTATGCTTTAGTAATGTTTCTTTGACAAATATGTGTGTCCTTATATTTGGGGAATTAGATGTTACGAATTGAGATGTCGTCTTGCTGTACTTTTCCGTTGATTCGTATGAAGTGTCCTTCCCCATCTCTTTCCATTAATTTTGGTTTGAATTTTATTTTGTTGGATATTAGAATAGCTACACCAGCTTAGTTCTTGGGGCCGTTTTCTTAGCAAAGCTTTTCCCAGCTGTTTATTCTGAGGCACTGTCTTTCTGACATTGAGGTGTATTTCTTGTATTCGGCATAAGGATGGATCTTGTTTTCTAATCCATTTGGTTAGCTTGTGTCTTTTCATTGGAGAATTGAGTTCTTTGACATTGAGAGATATCAATGACCAGTGATGGTTAATTCCTGTTAATTTTTTTGTTGATGACAGTGTGTGTGTATGTGCTTTCCATCTTTTGTTTTTATTTCTGGTGTGAGATTATATAATTACTATGTTTTCATGGGTGTAGTAAACTTTCTTGGGTTTGGAGTTTTTCTTCTAGTATATTCTGTAGGGCTGGATTTGTGGATAGATATTGTTTAATTTGACTTTATCAGGGACTACCTTGTTTTCTCCACTTATGGTGAATCAATGTTTTGCAGGGTATTGGAGTTTGGTTTGGCATCTGTGGTTCCTCAGAGTCTGCAAGATATCTGTCTTTCTATAAATGCTACTTCTATGATCATACATTTATATCTCTCTCAAAAACTACTCAACACTTGTTAAAAACAAAAATATCATAAATTTTGTTTGATTTTATTTGAAATATATTTAGCTTTTATTTGTGATTCTAGAATTGGGTAGCACCTTACTTTAAAGTTGAATGATTGGTCTGATTATCTAAATGAAGAAAGTGAGCTTCATGATGAGAAAAATTCTGAATAAAATACAACTCAAAGGAAAAGACAAATTTGGGAAGAGGATGCTTTTCATTACATTCGCTCTGTTTTTTCTTTTCTGTCTTCTTGCGTTTGTTTGGTTTTTCTTAAATGGCACTGTTTAGAAATGGAGTTTGAAGATGAAAGGCTCCTTTAGCACTGAGTCCGCTCTGGTCTGGTCTGTGCTGCTGGAAACTCATCTGAAGCAATGGCTTCCCATGAAAGTCATTCAGTGGAGTTTTATATCGAGTCAACAGTTCTTCATATTAAAGTTTGTCTTTTCAAAAAAAGACCCACTTTAGAGCACTGGACTGAGCTCCCAAGGTCCAAATGAGGAGCAGAAGGAGGGAGAACATGAAAAAGGAAATCAGGACTGCGAGGGGTGCATTCACCCTCTGATACAAGGGGACTGATCGAATGAGAGCTCACCAAGGCCAGCTGGACTGGGACTGAACGAGCATGTTATCAAATCGGAGTCTCTGAATGTGGCTGACATGGGGGCTGTCTGAGAAGCCATTGACAATGGCACTGGGTCTTGTTTTGTCTGCATGTACTGGCTTTTTGGGATCCTAGTCTGTTTGGATGCTCACCCTCCTAGACCTGGAGGAAGAGGGGAGGAACTTGAATTTCCCACAGGGCAGGAAACCCTGACTGCTCTTAGGACTGGAGAGGGAGGAGGAGAGGGAGTGGGGGGAATTGGAGGGTATGAGGAGGAGGGGAGGAAGTGGAAATTTTTATAAACAAATAAATAAATAAATAAATAAAAAAAAACCAAAAGATGCAGTTTCAGTCTTACTGGTCTTTGTGGAAGCAGATTAGTAAATAAATGATTGATAAACTAGAGGCTGAAGGGGTAGAAAATAAATTATCAGAATAGTAAGAAAAATCAGAGGAAGTAGAAACTATAAGAATTAAATTTGAAAATAATCTCAAGATTGGAAAGATAAATAGATTAAAAAAAATCACACATTAGTTTTTACGAGTTTATAATTATTGCATTCATCATTATACCCATGCAGCATCTTTGGTAAGGACTGACATGCACAAACTTTAGTTTTTTAGTAGTATGTTTTTATTAAGAAAGATGGTTCAATTTTATGTGTATGCGTGATTTTCTTGCAAGTATGTATGAATACCAATGCATGTTGTCTCTAGCAGAGGCCAGAAGTGACAATTTGATTCATTTAAACTGGAATAGACAGTTGTGAGCCTCCATGTGGGCTCTGGGAACCAATTCTTGGTCCTATGTAAAAACACTGACTGCTCTAAGCCATTGAGTAATCTCTCTAGTCCATCATGTCTCTTACAGAAACTATTTATTAGATGGTATTTACTTTAGGGGAAAGCAAGTGAAGGCATATCAAATTTTAGTACACAAAACATTCTGGATAAATACAACACAGTCAATGGAGCAATATCCACCTGAAATTCTAGTATAATTTGTGTGCTTTTATATCTTCATTGTACATATGAAGATTATAACATTATGTCATCTCTTTATTTCTAAGTGTATAGATCACTGGATTTAGAAAAGGAGTAATAACTGCTCCGAAAATGCCAAGAAATTTATCCAGATGTGATGTTGGAAATGGCCACATGTAGAAGAAGATTATTGGTCCAAAGAAAAAAATGACCACCATGACATGAGCTGACAGAGTGGAGAGGGCCTTGGATAAATTTCCCAAATATTTCTTTTGAATGGTCATCAAAATAAACACGTAAGAGATGATCAGAATTAAAAAACAGGTGACAGAAATGAACCCACTATTGGCAGTGACCATCAATTCCAATGCACTGGTGTCCATACAAGCCAGTTTAATAAACCGAGTGAGGTCACAGAAAAAGCTGTCTAGTTCATTAGGGCCACAGAAGGGTAAGTCTATGACAAAAATCAACTGAGTCACCGAGTGGATGAAGCCAATAATCCAAGAAGCAACTAAAACCAAAATGCACTTTTGTGGACTCATGATAGTCAAGTAGTGCAGAGGCTTACATATGGCAGCATATCGGTCAAAAGCCATGGCTATGAGTAGCACCATCTCCGTGCCTCCAACTGCATGGATTAGGAAGATTTGAGTGATACAGCCCCCAAAAGAGATGGTTTTGTGCCTTCTGAAAAGGTTGTAAATTACCTTTGGTGCTGTGGAGGTGCAAAATCTCATGTTGAGAAAGGAAAGATTGGCTAAGAGGAAGTACATAGGGGACTGTAAATGGGGGTCTGATGTCACAGTTAGAATAACGAGAAAATTTCCAAACAAATTTGCCATGTAGAACATACAGGAAAAGAGCAAGAGGAATATCTGGGTTGTCCATGAGTTGGAGAGTCCTAGGAAGACAAACTCAGATACCACAGAGTGGTTTGCTTCACCCATTGCCTCTGCTGGCTGTGACAGCCCTCATGTCATCTGAAACAGGAGAGCAATGAGACACTCTGGTTTAGGACAAGCAGTGCTCAACTGACAAAGTCACATTAAAGACTAACATGCCTTTAGAGATAGTTATGTATTTATACATACATACATACACATATATATGTAGAAATAGTGAAATAAAATGAGACCATGATTTTGAAGCAAAGCAAGCGGGGAATACATGGAAAGGCTTGAAGGTATGAAAATAGGAATGTGATGTATTTACTTTTAATTTCCAGAAATAAAAAAGTATAAAAAGCACTTCTTCCATCCCCCTAAAGTAATTAGTATTCCTCTCATATATCCCAGTGTCCAAAGCATACTAATATTTAACCCTTTAATTTACTTGGATAACCATATTTGTTATATTTTCAGACTATATTATTACGGACAAATCTTTCTGATGTCTCTGAAATAAAAGTCTTTTGGGTTATTAACTGTCAAAATCTTAAGTGACTATGACCTTCATAATTTGGAAATTTCTTAAGATATTAATATTCTAAAAAAGATCACATTAAAATGCCTATATACACATTTCGGATAAGAGATGGGCATTTCTCTTATCTCTATATTGAGATGACAAGGTGACAAAATGGGGCAGAGGAGGCATGTTTAAGACACTCACTGTGTGACTTAGAGAAGTTAAAAAATCCATGGATTCTCTGGAGCAGATCCTGTCTTATGCTCAGTGGAGGAAAAAATTGACAAATATCAAGTGAAAATGGCAACCAGAATTTGGGCAGTGTGTCATGATCCCCCACATAGAAGAAGTGAGAACAAATATGTTTGAGGATGTGGTGAGAACCTGTCCCCTTGAAGGTAAAGATTCTTAAGTTCATTCACAATTAAATCAAATGCATGCAAAATATCAACATAATAGCATTTTCTTACTTATTAGACAGGAGTTTAAATATTTGACACAACCAAGGTTTGTGGGTGGTTGAAGAAGCAAGCATTCTCACATCTGATGACAAAATGAATAGTTAAATTTGAAGTGCATTCTGAGTTTTTACATAGGTGTTTGCTTTGGTTCAGCACTTCTCCCTCTAAGATTCAAAATTCCTGAGTATATTCATGTTTATATTCATGTGACTAAGGTAAACAGTTTGACTAAAGCACTGTTTTCAAGCTCAATGTCTTGAAAATACCTCTAGTTTGTTAAATAGGTTCGTAGGTCAATAACTCATTTTAGACTATTGTAACTTTATTCTTTTTTTCCAAAGTTTATTAAATTATAAAAGTTTCCATTTCCGCCCCACCTCCCAACACCCTCCCACTCCCCCCACTCACTTTCCTCCTCCCTCTCCATCCCTAAGAGCAGTCATTGTTTCCTGTCCTGTGGGAAGTTCAAGTTCCTCCCCCCTCCCTCCAGGTCCAGGAAGATGAGTATCCAGACAGACTGGATCCCAAAAATCCAGTATATGCAGAGGAAACAAGTCCCAATGCCATTGTCAATGGCTTTTCAGAAAGACTCCGGGCCAGCCACATTCAGAGAATCTGGTTGGATCACGTGCTCGTTCAGTCCCAGTCCAACTGGCCTTGGTGAACTCTCATTAGATCAGTCCCCTTGTATCTATGGATGGCGATACAGACGGAGACCCACATTGGAGCACCGGACTGAGGCCCGCAAGGTCCAAATGAGGAGCAGAAGGAGGAAGAACATGAAAATGTAACTTTATTCTTTTAACTTAGCAAAAGTTTAAAAGTGGGTAAGTTACTAGAGTTTGTAAAAATTTGAAAAGCATTGTTGGTGGACTTTCTAGTTAGTCAATGCTCTGCCTCTACATAAATCTCAGCTCCCCAGGTTCCAAACTTTCTATTTGTTTTGCAGACTGACTCTGCACTAAACGTGGTCAGAGTTGGAGCTGAGGCTGATACCAGGTCAGGGGCTTGCTCTCCTCAAACTGACGGTCGGACACCATCGCCGAGGTCAACATCCACACAGCTTATCGAATGTAAAGAGGTTGAGCTTGTGACTGTTTGGAGCCTTCACCCCTATGGTCTAGTCTCTTTGGTGAGGGAGGTACTCGGAAGGCTATTGAAAGAGAAACTTGGACACAAACTCAGCCACAAAACCATGGACCTAAAATCTCTCCTGTCTGTACGATGTGTTGGTGCAATGGTGGTACAGAACTTGTGGGCGTAGCCAATCAATGTCTGATGCCAGTGCCATGATGGGGAGCCCATGCTTCACACTGCTTGGGATGACTAAGAAACAGAGACCGGATATAAAAAAGACCTAGGGTAGAATCATAAACTTTTGTGAAAAAAAATGAAATGATTCCCAATAATATTTGCTATACTCATAGATGTCTTATACAGTCATCAACAGAGAGGCTTCCTCTGGCAGAGATGGGAGCGGGTGCAGAGACACACAGGCAGACATTATGGAGAGAGAAGGGAGATAGAGGGGAGAGAGAAAGGGGGGAGACTTATAGATTGGAGGTCTCCATCGGATCTTCCTCACTCCTCCATCGGATCTTCCCCGCTGCACTTGGGGAGCACAATGGAGGAGGTGATTGATTACAGGAGTCAAGGGGATGGAGGATGCTAGGTGAAAATGACCCTCTGTATCACTAGTTAGGATGTATATGGGCTCACAGAGACTGAAGTGGAGAACATGGGGTCTACATCAGGCCCTCTGTGTATGTTAATTGTTTTTGTGGGATTTTTTTAACACCAGGAGTGGGTTCATCTCTGACCTTTTTTGCCTGCTCTTGTGACTCTTCCTATCTGATGGCCTTGTCTTGTCTCCATATGAGGGCTTTTACCTTGCCTTATTGTTATCTTGTTTTGTTGTGCTTGGGTGTTGTCTCTTGGAGGCCCACTCTCTTCTGAAGTTCCCCAAGGACTGGTGGAACTGGTAGAGAAAGAGGTTGCAGGAAAAATTGTGTTGTTTCAAAGAAGAACACAGTTTCAATTTTTTTAAAAAAAGGCAGAAAAGTAGTTCAAATCTGATGCTTTAGTGAGAACAAGACTGTAGCTGTATAGTTAACTGAATATAGTTAATTAATGAGGACACTGGCTTTGCAGTGTCCTAAGTCTCAGACCCGAGTTCACCAGAAAGCAAAAGTCTCTGCTTATGCTTCCACTGCAAAGTGTAAAGTATAACAGAAGAACAAGACTCATAGACCTCTACAGAGTAGTCATTTCCTCCTGTGCTCAGGGCAGCTTATCCATTCCTGGGCCAACATAAAGAGGCAATGGACGTTAAATCATGTGGAATTAACACCGATGGAGCAGGCTAATGCTAGAGTTTTTGTTAAAGTTGAAAATCAACATTTGAAGCTGCTCAGGAAGAGACTGAGTATTCTTTCTTTTTTTCTCAATTATTAAAAGGTTGAATTAAATTAGAGCTTCTGTATAGTGTAGAAAATTGTCCTTGAAAGACATCACAAGCTTCTCCACTGTTTCTTTTTCCTGAGATGTACAGAGAGAGCTCAGGACATTGTTCAGTGTCCTAGAAGTTCTGTGGAGAGGCCATTAGACCTGCATGCTTCCACAGGAGTCCTCAGTGCTGCCAGGACAGACTGGAAGGCTACTGTCAGCCAGTGAAACTTTTCTTCATGTCTGTGACATTCTTTTGAGTCTAAACTAAAGAAAGAATGGTATGAGAAGGGCAAGGATCCTGCTAAAATCACAGAACAAATTGTTGGCAAACCTGGAGTAAGCATGTTTGACTCTTGTTCTCATCAGTCCGGATTCCTTTCATTCCACCCATTTGTTTCGTTGTGCTTATCCTACCTTTGTGTCCTGTCTGTGGCCCGAGGAATCACAACACATCACGTGAATGAAATTATAAAAAGAGAGAGTTCTGAAAGTTTCACTACATAGAATAATGTTTAATCAATTGTTTACCAATAATCTCAGTTTGAAGATACACTATGAAATATGAGCATATGTTTTAACAGCTTATTGTACACCTATAAATATTGTATTTACAGTTAGAATTCAGCCCTTCAACCTGTATATATGGACCCTAGTTTCTTTACTGTTGTCCAAAATTATTGATATTTTCTTCAACAGTCTATGCTTTAACTCTTATTTTATTCCTTTTGTTGAATGCACAGTAAGACTTCCATGAAAATGCCACTGCAGTAACCTCTACCATGTTGCGTACCTCATGACTTTGCTCATTCCTCTGACTTATACACTTTAACCTATGGGTAATATGTTGCAATTTCCTCATTGAATTTATTTCTTCTGATTGATTAGGTTTTTTTCTGCTCTATGTATTTTCTTTAAAATTCAAATTTTCCTCCAAGACAGTTTCTATCAGTGGGATAGACAGATGGAG